TTGTTGAGGAACAAGCCCGACACGATCGGCTTGCCAGTTTAGGCACCGAACAATGCCGCCTCAACGCCATCATCTCCACCACCTACTCATCCCGCTTCCACTTCAAGTTTATTGTCGCCACCCTTGGTGCGTCTACAAGCAAGTTTCGGGCCCCCCTCGACAATGGAGCTTCCGATAACTTTATCAACGACACTTGTGTTCGAAAAGCCGGTCTCACCTCCACTGGTTATGACTCCTCGATTACCATTTGTTCAGAGGACAAAGACACCGCCGTCGTAGTAGACCGCACAGTTCCCTAGACCACCATGACTGTCGGAACCCTCCGCAGTCAGGTCTCATGCGATGTCATGCACTTGATGTGTGACATCGTTTTGGGAACACCTTGGCTGGACCACTACATGCCATACACGTTCCACCCCAACTTCTTCCGCCTCACCAACCCCCCCAACATGCCCATCGACATTCCCTATTTCCCCCACCCTACCTCCCAAAACACCAATTTCTCCACATGGCCCGTCAAAACCCCGACTCCACCTACTATTGTCTTGTCCGTTATCGCAAACGCCCCGAGGACTTGCTCCTTACGGACAAACCCGATCAAGCCCCCCACTTCGACCCCGCCCTCAGCTCCATCCTCGACGAGTTCAAGGACGTCTTTCCCGAGTCCTTGCCTGTTGGATTACCCCCAGATCATGGTGTATCTCATACCATTGATCTGGAACCTGACCACTCTCGGTCCTGCCGCCCTCCATACCAACTCTCCGTTCCGGAAGCCGAAGAAATGAAGCGGCAACTCAATGAACTCCTTGAAAAAGGATTCATTAAGCCAAGCTCCTCCCCCTTCGGTACAAGCTGCCTTTTCGTGAAGAAAGGCGGGACCTTAGAACTAAGGATGTGCACAAACTACTGCGCCTTGAATCGGATCACGATCAAAGTACCCCCTGCCTCGGATCTCTGAGCTTCTTGATCGCCTCCGTGGAGCCAAATATTTTACCAAGATTGACCTCCGCAATGGCTTCCACCAAATCCGCATGCGCGAGGAGGACACCCACAAGACTGCATTTCGTTCTCGCTTCAGGCACTACGAGTTCCTCGTGATGCCCTTCGGACTCACAAACGCCCCCGTCACATTCCAATCCACCATGAATCACATCTTCGTGACCTCATCGAAGTCTGTGTCGTTGTCTACCTCGATGATATCCTTGTCTATAGCCCCACCTTCGAGTCCCACCTTCAACACCTTCGCCAAGTCTTCGCTATCCTCAAACAACAAAAATTATACACCAAGCTCAACAAATGCACCTTTGCTGCCTCTAGCGTAGAATACCTTGGCCACATCGTCTCTGCTGAAGGAATCCGCATGGACCCCTCGAAGGTCACCGCCCTCATTGAGTAACCCCCGCCCAAGACCCTACTCCAACTACGCTCATTCCTCAGCCTTGCCAACTGTTACCGCCCCTTCATCCGCAACTTCTCTGACATCTCTTACCCACTCCCGGAACTCACACGCAAGGACGAGCCCTTCAATTGAAATGACCGACGCCGAAACGCCTTCGACTTCCTCAAACAAACCATCACCACACAAGATCGCCGACCCCTCTCGACATTTCTACGTTACCACTGACGCATCCAAATTCGCCATTGGAGCCGTCCTATCACAATACTTCCCTCACGACACCTCTAAAACCCCCTCCATCAAAGACTCCCCCACCCACCCTGAGGCTCCACCCGGCGAGTACCCCATCGCCTTCGCTAGCAAGAAGCTCCTTCCTGCAAAGATGAACTACCCCTCCAATGAGAAGGAACTCCACACCGTGATCCACACCCTCGAAGTCTGGCGCCCGTACCTTGCCGGCAATACTTCACTATCCGCACGGACAACACCATCGTCTCGTTTATCCTCACTAAGAAGACATCATGCCACGCCAAGCTCGCTGGTTAGACTTTTTTGCCCAGTTCACATTCACCATTTGCCACACCCCTGGCAAAAGCAACCGCGTTGCCGATGCCCTCTCTCGACGCCCCGACCACAAGCCCTTTGAGAAAGTCTACGCCACCATGACTCATATCCAGCTCCCATCACTCCACCACCGCTACACCCAAGGCTATCTTGCTTGCCCGGATTTCTCAACTATCTACAACAAACTTCGTGACTTCGACCCAGTCCCTGACTACTCCCTTCACGACCGACTTCTTTACATCGACACCAAAGGCACTCGCTGACTCTGCATCGCTGACGCACGTGGCCTCCGTACCCAGCTCTTGGCCGAGCACCACGATGCCAAGACTGTGGGACACCTCGGGTTCCAGAAAACCTTCAACACCATCTCCCGCTACTTCTACTCGCATTCCCTTCTCCCCGATGTCAAAGCTTACATTCGCTCATGCCCCACATGTCAAGCTGTCAACCCTTCAAACCGGGGCAAGCCCAGCATGTTACAGTCATTGCCTATTCCCACTCACGGGTGACAGTCCATCTCTATGGACTTCGTGTGCGGGCTTCCCAAGACCGACCGCGACCATGACTGCATTTATGTCATCGTCTGTCGCTTGACTAAGCGCGCACACTTCATCCCTTGCACTACTTCGCACAACGCCAAAGATGTTGCCACTCTCTTCTTTGATCATGTTGCACGCCATCATGGCCTCCCCGAGAACATCATCAGTGACCATGATCCCCGCTTCCTCTCACAATTCTGGAAACACCCCTTCAAAGCATACAGAACCACGCTCAAGTATAGCACTGCATTCCACCCCCAGGCTGATGGACAAACCGAGAAAATGAACGATACTCTCCAAGGAATCCTTTGGAAGTATTGTCATCCACACCAACCCGACTGGGATCAGCTGCTCACAGCCGCCAAGATCGCCTATAACAACGCCTTGCTCTTCCACTGGCATGTCTCCGTTCTACCTCAACCTTGGCTACCATCCTCGCTTGCCGTCCGACTTCTTGCTTCCTTCACAACTCAACCCCTCCATCCCCTGCCCTTCTCTCAATGAATGGGTAGCAACAACGAACAAACTCCTCAGAGAAGCCATCGAAGCCCTTGAACGAACATGAACAACAAGCCAACAAGACCAACAAACAAAGACGTGACTTCCCTTCCCTATACTCTTAAAGAATGCAAAGGGCCCAGCGTGACGCTTCTTGCTGGGCCCAGCGAAATTCGGTGTGGAGGCGAGCGGGACTGGGGCAAGGTAAATCGGCCGTGGCGTTTCGTGGCGGGACTGCGGGCGGGAGTGAGGGAAATTTGGTGTGGCGGTTCCACACGACACGCCCCGCTCTGCAGTGTTGGGAGGACAGAAAGTCCCGTTCCCTGGTGCCACGGTTTTTCTTTCAACCCCCCCATTCAGTTCTGTTTCCCGCCAGTCCATGGTGTCGGGCGGGGGCCGCATCGATATGGAAAAGGGCGGCGATGGAAAGATGTGATGAAGGAGGGAGGATCAACGCAAGAGGAGGGAGGAGGAAGAGGGAGAAAGACATTTGGGGCATGTGGCACGTGTGCGCTCAGAGCAGGAAGGGTGGGAGAAAGAGGGAGGATGAAGAGGGAGAAGCATGTTTGGGCCGATCGAAACAAGGACGAGGAGGAACAACGAAAAAGAGGAGGAGCGATGGGACGATGAGAATGGAGGAAAGAGGAGGAGGATGGAACAAAAGGAGAAAGAGGGACGAAAAGGAGGACGATAAGCATGGCAGACGACGAGAATTCATGGAGGAGGGGAGAGGATGTAGGGAGGAGGTTGCCAGGGGGATGAGGAGGTCGCACAAGGAGGAGATCGTTCGAGGGGGAAGCGGACGTTGCGACAAGGAGGAGGAGGAGGTCGGAAGAGAGGTGGGAGGAGGTCATGCGAGGGGGAAGCAGACATCGCGACAAGGAGGAGGAGGAGGTTGTGCGAGGGGGATGAGGAGGTGGGTAGAGGACACGTGAGGGGGAGGAGGTCGCACAAGGATTAGGAGGACGTTGTGTGAGGGGGAGGAAGAGGTTGAGCAAGGGAGAGGTCAGAAGAGGGGGAGGAAGTCGCGTGCGGGGGAGAAGGGGGGCGAGCGAGGGGTAGGAGGAGGTCGTGCGAGGGGTAGGAGGAGGTCGCGCGAGGGGTAGGAGGAGGTCGCGCGAGGGGGAGGAGGAGGAGGAGGTCGCGCGAGGGGGAGGAGGAGGTGGGTGGAGCACGTGTGAGGGGGAGGAGGTCGCACAAGGATTAGGAGGATGTTGTGTGAGGGGGAGAAAGAGGTCGAGCAAGGGAGAGGTCAGAAGAGGGGGAGGAAGTCGCACGAGGGGGAGGAGCGCGAGGGGTAGGAGGAGGTTGCGCGAGGGGTAGGAGGAGGTCGCGTGAGGGGGAGGAGCAGTAGGAGGTCGTGCGAGGGGGATGAGGAGGTGGGTGGAGGAGGCATGAGGGGGAGGAGGTCGCACAATGATTAGGAGGACATCGTGTGAGGGGGAGGAAGAGGTCGAGCAAGGGAGAGGTCAGAAGAGGGGGAGGAAGTCGCGCGAGGGGGAGAAGGGGGGCGCGTGAGGGGTAGGAGGAGGTCGCTCGAGGGGGAGGAGGAGGTTGGAAGACGATGTGTGACGGGGAGGAGCGGGTCGCGCAAGAGCAGGAGGTCGCAAGAGGGGGAGGAGCCTAGGAGGAGGTCGCACAAGGGAGAGGGGGAGGTCGAAAGAGGGGGAGGAGTGGGTTGTGCAAGTGGGAGGAGGAGGTAGTGCGGGGGAGACGAGCAGGTCGCACGAGGAGGACGAGGTGTTATAGGAGGTCGTGTAGAGGTTGGAAGGGAGGTGGAAGGAGGTCGCGCGAGTGGGATGAGGAGGTCGGAAGATGACATGTGAGAGGTGAGGAGGAGGTCGCACAAGGAGGAGGAGGAGCTGGAGGAGGTCAAAAGAGAGGTGGGAGAACGTCGCGTGACGGGGAGGAGGATGTCGGAAGACGATGTGCAAGGGGGAAAAGCAGGTTGTGCAAGGACGGGGAGGAGGAAGTCGCGCGAGGGGGAGGAGGAGGTCCGAAGAGGGGGAGGAGTGGGTTGTGCACAGGGGAGGAGGAGGTCATGGGAGGGGTAGGATCAGGTTGCACGAGGGGATGAAAGGTTGCAGGAGGTCGTGCGGGGGGGGGAGGAGGAGGTCGCACCAGTGGGAGGGGGAGGTCACGCTAGGGGGAGGAGTTTGTGCGAGCGGGAGGAGGGGGCCCACGAGGAAGGACGAGGAGGTCGCGCTAGGGAGAGGAGGTCGCACAAAGGGGAGGAAGTATGTGCATGCGCGCGCACATGAGAGAGACACAGAGAGAGAGAGAGAGAGAGAGAGAGAGAGAGAGAGAGAGAGAGAGAGAGAGAGAGAGAGAGAAGACTGGCATATCTTCCTCCAAATGTTGAAAAAATGTCATCGGCCTTTTTTGGGGTGGTGGTAATTTGCCAAATACCCCCATAAGTTGAGATGTATTTCAAAATGTCCCTGAAAAATCTCGGTACAGTGGAATGGCCTTTTGGGCTGACACCTTTGTGTTATGCCCCTGTCAGCCACGTGTGCAAATTCGCAATGTCAGCCTCCCCGTTTGGGCCTTGGCCTTTTGCAATTGCACCTACGAAAAGTTGGCAACTACCGGGGCATTTTGCAAAGTTGGACGGTGTCCGGTAGGGGTACATTGCAAACATGGGGTCCAACCGATGTCCGGGGTGTTTCGCAAAATGTTTTTGTCATCGTCCTTCGCCGCAGCGTGGCTGCGGCAGGTCCACTTGTAACATTCAAAGTATGGGACGAAGTCTGGCTCTCCGCCAAACGCTTTGAACCCGAACACGGCTTGTCCAAGAAACTCTCAAACAAGTGGCTCGGACCCTTCCCCATCATTGAACAAACCTCCCCCGTCAATTACAAGCTCCAACTCCCTCCTGACATGAGTCGTGTCCACCCTGTCTTCCACGTAGAATACCTAAAAGAATACCATGAATCCCCACCCCATTTCGCTGAGCGCCCATATCCTAGACCTCCACCAATCATGTTACCCACAGGCCCTGAATTCGTTGTCGAAGCCATCGTAGGACGAAGAACTACTCAGGTATCTGACCACCCTGAAGGGCCTGAACCAATCACAGAATCTAAAGTTAAATGGACAGGATACCCTGACGAAGTTGCTAACCTTAAGAATGCCATGAATCCTTGCCTATGATCGCGCCCACCTTATATCCTAGCCACTATGCCTAACACCGGCCTAAACCCTGCCTAAACCCCGCCTAAACCCTGCCTCAACCCTCCCTCCCTGCGCTACACACATCCCCTGTACCCAGCAAAACCCTTGCCCCTTGACCTCCCCCTGTCTGATCCGTTCTTGCCTCCGTCTCATCCCGTTCTCCCATCTGTCCTCTGACACATCTCTGTCCCTCTTGTCCAAGCCCTACATGTGGCCCCTGCGCGTCGCCGGCGATAAAGGATCTAATGGCAAGCGCACAAGGACAATGGCATGCTGCAGCTCAGTACGAGGAGATAAGACAGCTGTTGGCCACCATGCTGTTCCCTTTGGCCGGCACCTTGGACTCGCAGACTTCTGGAGCAGCACCTCTGACATGGACATCAAGATCAGTCTGTGATCTTCTATTCGGATCAGACCTCATCATCAGATCGTGTACCGGACGCAACCTGCTACTGGGACAATCAAGCTGAAGCCCTCGCCGTCTACATCGCAGAGCTGCAGAAGACTGCTTCATCACGGACACTTCTGTGACACCCTCTGAGACCTTCCTCAAGACATTTTTCGCATTTTGGCACTTTGTTACCGACCCGAGACGTTGTTTTCTTGGACCCCTCGGACACCCCAGCATTTGAGCATGAACAAACAATTTTTTTATTTTTTTTTATTTTTCTTTCTCTCAAACCTGACAACCTATAACCCAGTAGAACATCAGTAGTATTACCCTGTTACCTGAACAGTGCTACCCTCACGCTTGCAGAACCTCAATAGGATTACCCTCTTTCTTGAGCATTGATTCCCTCATCCCTGTAGAACCTCAATTGCCCTGTTACTTGAGCATTGATTCCCTCATCCCTGTAGAACCTCAATAGGGTTACCCTGCTACTTGCATTACTCCCCCTTTCCTTTCTGACCAGTGATCGGCCCCGTCCCGTCCTTCACAGTTGTTGATTAGGTCTTTGGCAGCCGTGACGTTGCCTTCTAGAGGGAGGGGATAGTGTTACGGACTCAGCCAGGGCTCGGCGCCCATTCTCAAATTCCTCCTCTGGCACTTTCGGATTTCGATACTTGGCGCCATCCGGCATTCTGGCGCCGGGGCTCAGACCTTCGATTTTGAGTTCAGCCCCGAGGCAAATTGCACTTCTGCCCTCGGGACTCGACTTGAGTCCGGTACTTAAGAGCGGACTCAAGCCCAGTTCGGGCACTCAGTTTTCGGCATCAGTGCTTGTGCTTCAGTGTGACTTGCTGCGACATTGTGTTCGCAATCCAAGACTGCGACTTTGTGACTTTGCCACTTTGTGTCTGCGTCTGTTGAGTCGTGTCGAGTCCGTGTCGAGTTGAGTGAGTGTGTGTGTGTGCTCTCACTCTCGCCCTCTCTCTTCCCCGACCTCGCTGCTCTGCCTCAGCCCCGTCACAAATCCTGCACAGGTCTACCTCACACGTACAGCCTAGTAGCCTACCCTGTTCCTATGTAAGCTTTTCACAACCTTTACCATCCCTAAAGCCTCATCCAATCGTCTGTACCCTTTGCCTAGATTCTATTGCTTGTCTCTCGTTGGTAAGACAATAACAAGCTTGAAGTCTCATATCATTGACTTTTTTTCTTTTCTTTTTTGACCGTTTTGGGCATTTTTTGTGTTACTTTTATGCTAAAACTAAATTATCTGCTCTGTTTTTCACTTTTTGTCAGGCACATGTTTGCAACACTGTCGTTCATCGCCGAAACGTTCATCTTTCTCTACGTGGGCATGGATGCTCTAGATGTTGAGAAGTGGGATGTCACTGACCCCGTGTAAGTCTGAAAAAGTCACATCTGCTTTACTTTGCTTCGACCTTCCCCGTTTTCATTGCCCTACCATCATCCCCCGAATGCAACCCATGATGGCTGTACTGGACCAGAAAGGTAGTGTATACAGTGTATATACGTTCATGATAAGGGAGTGTTGCTCTTGTTCGAGGGAAGATGGGAATGAAAAATGTGACTATATTTCACATCTATGTGACTTATATATTCGACATTATATTCAATGTTGCAAGGAAAATGAGCAATAGCGAAATGACTGAATTCCACATTGCAAAATCACACTGAAAGCAAGATAGTCGAAAGCTGTCCAGACAGCAGAAATGCACTGATGTTACACCGAAGGAGAACCAAAGCAGCGAAACTCAATTGTCAATGAAAGCATACACTCGCCACCACCAACAATGTAATCAAAGCTCTTCCTCCTACTGGCACTTAGCGCGCTGAGTACTATCACACAGCTACACTACTCACCTACAAAATGACGAAGCAACCAGTTGATGTCAGCAGCAGTAACCAAAGTACATGCAGATATCGACCATGCGGACCTCCGGCAAAACCAGGTATGTGCCCTCACATCATCTCCCTCAGTCGCCCTCTCTTGCTCACCCTCGTCTTCTCCTCCCACGGCTCTACACCAACCGAAGACCACCGCCGAACCCTGCCGAGTCCCTGACCTTCTCCAAACCCAAGCCCGACTATGGGGGCTGGGCTATGGCGCTGCCTTCTTGCAGCGCGTCCAGTCACAAACGCTAGCGCAGCAGCACGGGAGCAATTGCTCCAGCAGCACTGCTGCATGCACTCACGAGTGCCTGAATGTTTCAATGGCGGTGCTAGCTGCCTGGGCCTGGCGACCATGTGCCCAGTAGCTTCACTTTGGGCCAAAGTGTCTGCGCCCAAGCCCATTCAGACAGTGGCCTGGGACCAAATTGGTTAGGCGCGCCCAACCGCCAAGGCGCAAACATGTGGTGTTCCCTGCTTCCCCCAGCATTCCGGGAAGAGCCTAGAAGGCTCACAAATATATCTGATTCTCGTGAGCAGGGCGGATGTAGCCAACTGGCGCGCGGTAAGTGTCTTGTGCCCACCAGCACTTGCAAAATGGACGAATTCAGGCCTCATTGAGATTCAGGGGCCCGCCTTTGCTTAGGGCGGGCACATGCTTGCTTAGCGGGGCCATATGCGGGTCGGCACCCAAAAAAAAAAAAAAAACTTTTTCTTGGGTCCAGAACCCATAATAACCCCACCAACACCCCCATTCCCACCCTAAATACCCCCATACACCCCCCCAACAACCCCAAAACGCCTCCCAACACCCTCATACCCCCCCCACCACCCCCCATACCCCCCCCCCCCCCCCCCCCTAAATACCCCCATACACCCCCCCAACAACCCCAAAACGCCTCCCAACACCCTCATACCCCCCCCAATACCCCCTATACCACCCCTATACCCCCTATATCCCCCTATACACCCCCGCCCCCCCAACCCCCCCATCCCCAAAAGTTTCTCAGCGGATTTGGGCTGTACTCAGCAAGCGCAGTACAGCCCCCAACTCAGATTTGAAAAAAAATCAGTGGATGTTTGTTTTCTGATTGGTCAGCAGACCGCCGACCGGTCGGCCCCCATGGTCGGCTGCAATACGGTCGGCGGTCGGGGTCGGGGTCGGCGGTCGGCAGGTATGCAGCCATGATTATAATCATAAAGACAATCATTTGTGTTGGGTAGTTCTATAAAATAATATTAAGATTTATTTCATAATATTTCTTCTATTTTCAAAAATCAATGAAATACGAAAAATTTAAAAATAGTAATTTAGAAATTAAGGATTCCATGGATTGTTTCATTTGAGAGCGTTACGATCATCCGCTTTGATACTTGGGTAGTACCATCTGATTTTCAACAAGGTGAAAATTATCGTATCATCTATGTACATGTGCCTGCAGCTTGGATGAGTTTACTTATTTATATTGGAATGGCTGACATAAAACCCGACTTGTTAAATATTATGGAGGTTTAGTCAGTACAATGCCTATCTTCTCTACTATTTTCCTGTTATTGACATCGTGAATTATAGACATGGAATGTGAATGTAAAAGCTGAACTTGAATAGAACATAAATTTCATAAATAGAAAAATGATTACGTTTATGAATCAACGAACAACGCAAAAATATTCATATACATCAAAAATTGAACAAAAATATTAAAATAATAAATATAGATTGATTTAGTTGTGCCGCTTGTGCGGCTTGTGCCATATAGATTAAAGAATCTGTATACGAGAACATAGGGGTGGAAAAAAAAGCCGGAAAAGCTTTATAGTTACTTGATTCAAGTTGATTGTCCTAAAGTCAAGGTAGTTCATTAACTTTCATTTATCTATTATTTCAATTTATTTGTTTGATCGAGCAGACCTTACCCTTGTTTAAAATATATCAGTCTAACTTGTAAGGAGGAAGTAAAGTATGTCACTGCAGGCAATAGAAACGAAAACAAGTACTGAATTTAAAGCAGGATTGCACAGGTAAGAACGATCACAGATTTACTTCTGAGCTGCATGTACGTACTCCAGAGTATACATATGCACTGAAGAAAACAGACCGCAGAATTTTCTTTTCTTTTCTTTTCTTTTTGGGTATAGGGATTCGGGGGGCATTACACATCATGCCTTTGCAGTTCTGTGCTGAGAAATGATGAGTAACACTTGTATCTCGGACTGCAACGCCCCTGCAACTTTCCCCAACCAACCCACCATGACCCCTGCCCCTCTTACACTCCCCCTGCCCCCACACACGCAAACAATGTCACACCGTCGCACAGTCACACAAACACACACTCACACAGTGCACACAGGAGGAGGAGGAGGAAGGAGGAGGAAGTAGGAGGAGGAGAGTGATCGGAGGAGGGGCAGGAATAGGTGAGCGGACCAAAAAAAAAGAAAGAATTTGTGTGCCACGTGGCAGGTGCTCAGGAGGGAGGAGGAGGGAGGAGGAGGAGGAGAAAGAGGAGTAAGTATATGGAGGGAGGACGAGGGGAGGAGGAGGAGGAGGAAAGAGATGGGGGAGATGGAGGAAGAAGGGGAGGAGGAGGAGGAAGCGAAGGAGGAGGAGGAGGATAATGCTGGCGAAGGAAAGGAAGACAACACAAAGGAGAGGTGGAGGAGGACGAGGGGAGGAGGAGGAGGAGGAAAGAGATGGGGGAGATGGAGGAGGAAGAAGGGGAGGAGGAGGAGGAGGAGGACAATGCTGGCGAAGGAAAGGAAGACAACAAAAAGGAGAGGTGGAGGAGGACGAGGCAAAAGAGAGGACAACAGCGAAGCAAAGAGAACCACAGGAAAGACGCGAAGGGGAGGAGGGAGAAGAGGATGAGGACAAGGAGTACAATGCGAAGAGGGTGTTGATAAAGACGTGAAGGACAGGAGGAGGAGGAGGGGGACGATGACGACGACAGAGGCAGAGACAGAGAGCAAGAAACAACAAAAAGGTGTGTGCCACGTGGCACGTGCGTTGACGAAGCAGGCAAAAAAAAGGAACAATTAAGAAGAGTGTGTGCCATGTGCCAAGCATGTCAACGAAGGGAGGAGTAGGATGACAATGACAGAGGTAAAAAGAAAAAGAAAAAAAATGAAACTGCGGTTGCCACAGCAGCTCAGTCCCAGGAAAGTCTGTGAACCTCCAGATGCACCGAAGAATGAAACTGCGGTTGCCACCGAAGAATGACGGCAGTGGCAAGTGCGGGTAGCGGGCTGAGATAGTCGAAGATTGGGACTGAAGTGTCGGATACAGAAGTCCGACTGTAACGACGCACCAACCTTCTTTTTTGATTTTGTTGCCGAAATGCTGCTGCAGGCTTGTCCATCCAAGTATCGAGTGTGGCTGGAAGTGTAGTCAAGCAGCTTAGCTGATGGCGGATGGCGCCATAGCTGCCTCTGAGAGAGAGGGCAAGGTTGAGAGAGAGGGAGAGAGAGCCCACACCCGTCTGCCATTGCCTGGCGTCCATAGCTGCTGCACCATGAGTTTGCGGAAAAGTGTGGCAGCTATGATTTCCAGGCAATTTTCTAAGTTCTCATATCTCGTGTTGGTTTCTACCTGTGGTGTTAGCTTTTGTGTGATGATAAAGTGTGACAT